CACGCATTGCTAGTTATGTTACTTACATTGCCAGTTGTTACTTACTTAGCCATACATTGCTACTTGTTACATACCTAGCCCACACATTGCTAGTTGTTACTTACCTAGTCACGCATGGCTAGTTATGTTACTTACCTAGCCATACATTGCTAGTTATGTTACTTACCTAGAACACATTGCTAGTTATGTTACTTACCTAGCCACGCATTGCTAGTTATGTTACTTACATTGCCAGTTGTTACTTACTTAGCCATACATTGCTACTTGTTACATACCTAGCCCACACATTGCTAGTTGTTACTTACCTAGTCACGCATTGCTTGTTATGTTATTTACCTAGCCATACATTGCTAGTTATGTTACTTACCTAGCCACGCATTGCTAGTTATGTTATTTACATTGCCAGTTGTTACTTACTTAGCCATACATTGCTACGTGTTACTTACCTAGCCACGCATTGCTAGTTATGTTACTTACCTAGCAATACATTGCTAGTTATGTTATTTACATTGCCAGTTGTTACTTACTTAGCCATACATTGCTACTTGTTACTTACCTAGCCACACATTGCTAGTTGTTACTTACCTAGCCACACATTGCTAGTTATGTTATTTACCTAGTCATACATTGCTAGTTATGTTACTTACCTAGCCACGCATTGCTAGTTATGTTATTTACATTGCCAGTTGTTACTTACTTAGCCATACATTGCTAGTTGTTACTTACCTAGCCACGCATTGCTAGTAATGTTATTTACCTAGCCACGCATTGCTAGTTATGTTACTTACCTAGCAATACATTGCTAGTTATGTTATTTACATTGCCAGTTGTTACTTACTTAGCCATACAGTGCTACTTGTTACTTACCTAGCCACACATTGCTAGTTGTTACTTACCTAGCCACGCATTGCTAGTTATGTTATTTACCTAGTCATACATTGCTAGTTATGTTACTTACCTAGCCACGCATTGCTAGTTATGTTATTTACATTGCCAGTTGTTACTTACTTAGCCATACATTGCTACTTGTTACTTACCTAGCCACGCATTGCTAGTTGTTACTTACCTAGCAATACATTGCTAGTTATGTTATTAACATTGCCAGTTGTTACTTACTTAGCCATACAGTGCTACTTGCTACTTACCTAGCCACACATTGCTAGTTGTTACTTACCTAGCCACGCATTGCTAGTTATGTTACTTACCTCGCCACACATTGCTAGTTATGTTATTTACCTAGCAACACATTGCGAGTTATGTTACTTACCTAGCCACACATTGCTAGTTATGTTACTTACCTAGCCACTCATTGCTAGTTATGTTACTTACCTCGCCACACATTGCTAGTTATGTTACTTACCTAGTCCACACATTGCTAGTTATGTTATTTACCTAGCCATACATTGCTAGTTATGTTACTTACCTAGCCACACATTGCTAGTTATGTTACTTACCTCGCCACACATTTCTAGTTATGTTACTTACCTCGCCACACATTTCTAGTTATGTTACTTACCTAGCCACACATTTCTAGTTATGTTATTTACCTAGCCTAACATTGCCACTTGTTACTTACCTAGCCCACACATTGCTACTTGTTACATACCTAGCCCACACATTGCTAGTTACGTTACTTACCTAGTCACGCATGGCTAGTTATGTTACTTACCTAGCCATACATTGCTAGTTATGTTACTTACTTAGCAACACATTGCTAGTTATGTTACTTACCTAGCCACACATTGCTAGTTATGTTACTTACATTGCCAGTTGTTACTTACTTAGCCATACATTGCTACTTGTTACTTACCTAGCCCACACATTGCTAGTTGTTACTTACCTAGCCATGCATTGCTAGTTATGTTATTTACCTAGTCATACATTGCTAGTTATGTTACTTACCTAGCCACGCATTGCTAGTTATGTTATTTACATTGCCAGTTGTTACTTACTTAGCCATACATTGCTACTTGTTACTTACCTAGCCACGCATTGCTAGTAATGTTATTTACCTAGCCACGCATTGCTAGTTATGTTACTTACCTAGCAATACATTGCTAGTTATGTTATTTACATTGCCAGTTGTTACTTACTTAGCCATACATTGCTACTTGTTACTTACCTAGCCACGCATTGCTAGTTATGTTACTTACCTAGCAATACATTGCTAGTTATGTTATTTACATTGCCAGTTGTTACTTACTTAGCCATACAGTGCTACTTGTTACTTACCTAGCCACACATTGCTAGTTGTTACTTACCTAGCCACGTATTGCTAGTTATGTTATTTACCTAGCCATACATTGCTAGTTATGTTACTTACCTAGCGATACATTGCTAGTTATGTTACTTACCTAGCAACACATTGCTAGTTATGTTACTTACCTAGCCACGCATTGCTAGTTATGTTACTTACATTGCCAGTTGTTACTTACTTAGCCACACATTGCTAGTTGTTACTTACCTAGTCACGCATTGCTTGTTATGTTATTTACCTAGCCATACATTGCTAGTTATGTTACTTACCTAGCAATACATTGCTAGTTATGTTACTTACAATGCCAGTTGTAACTTACTTAGCCATACATTGCTACTTGTTACTTACCTAGCCACACATTGCTAGTTGTTACTTACCTAGCCACACATTGCCAGTTGTTACTTACCTATCCACGCATTGCTAGTTGTTACTTACCTAGCCACGCATTGCTAGTTATGTTATTTACCTAGCCATGCATTGCTAGTTATGTTACTTACATTGCCAGTTGTTACTTACTTAGCCACACATTGCTAGTTGTTACTTACCTAGCCACGCATTGCTAGTTATGTTATTTACCTAGCCACGCATTGCTAGTTATGTTATTTACCTAGCCATACATTGCTAGTTATGTTACTTACCTAGCAACACATTGCTAGTTATGTTACTTACCTAGCAACACATTGCTAGTTATGTTACTTACCTAGCAACACATTGCTAGTTATGTTACTTACCTAGCAACACATTGCTAGTTATGTTACTTACATTGCCAGTTGTTACTTACTTAGCCATACATTGCTACTGGTTACATACCTAGCCCACACATTGCTAGTTATTTTACTTACCTAGCAACACATTGCTAGTTATGTTATTTACCTAGCCATACATTGTTAGTTATGTTACTTACATTGCCAGTTGTTACTTACTTAGCCATACATTGCTACTTGTTACATACCTAGCTCACACATTGCTAGTTGTTACTTACCTAGCCACACATTGCTAGTTATGTTAATTATCTAGTCATACATTGCTATTTATGTTACTCACCTAACCCATACATAGCTAGTTTTGTTCTGCCTTTCTGTAGTAAAATTGGTGATATTTCTATTTTTTCCAGGGATGTAATTTTACCAAAGTGATTAACTAGTCCAACAACACTCAGTAAGTCTAATGCGCATGAATTATTTGGCTGTAAGTAAAAGGAAAGATAGTCAATGAAACTAGCAAGTTTATGTCCGCCAATCACCATTAAGAAGATATCAGCCAATCACCTCCAAGCTGAAGACAGCCAATCACTATTAAAAAGATGTCGGCCAATCACCTCCAAGCTGACTACAGCCAATCACCACCAAATGTCAGCTGAGATGAAACCATATTAGATTTTATTGTCAGCTTATATAGATATGTGTGTACTCACTCCTGTTGGATCATCATGGTTACCATGTATTGAGAAAACAGGTATAGAAACATTGTAATTTGGATCTTCATAGTTCACTACAGGAAATCTATATGAAAATAAATTTCAAAGCATTTTAATTTGTTAAAATAAATAAATGTTTTCTACAAACATTACTGGTAATCTGATAATGTTTAACATATTTTCCAAACATTACTTCGAAAGACCATTGCTTTGTATACGTCTAAGATGTGTCCGAAATAGACTCGGACTAAACAATCACCTTTATATAACTACAGTGCTTGTCATAACAAAAGATTAGTGTTTCATGCAAAATTAAAATAAAAAACAATACCAGACTTAACATTGTTTTGACACAGGAATTTTTATGACTTTTAGGAAATCTGAAACAAGACTTAGTCTAGTTTTTTATGATAATGCGAAGCTAAATTTTATGTAATTTAATAATTTTTCAATTCCAAATGGCAATTAGTTTTAGTGCCGTCATTGTTTCCATGGAAACAAGTTTTAGAACTTCCTCTTTTTATTGAACATTTTTGAATTATTTGATGTAACCTGTTGCTTAGTAAAAAATAAAAAAATTGAAATGCTCTTGAATTTTCTTGCAACGTTAGTTGTGTTAGGTTTGT